TTTCGGCGGCGCTTCCACGTCACCGCTAAAAAAAACAGTTGTTGCCATGCCGAGCGGTCAGCACTTCCCCTACACACTTCTTAATGATGGATGCAGCCGCCGAAAAAGCCGCGCAGCATCTCCCCTCAGTCTACCAAGGTGGTGGCCATGGCATCCTCCACCTCCACCTCTCACTCCTTCCTGCAGACCTCTTCCTTCGCCAGCAGTAGCTCCTCTCAGCTCCTCCGACTCCACCAGCAATTCCCCCTCCAGCAGCCAGCATTCACCCAAGCGTAATGCCAGCAACACCAGCCACAAATGAATGTTGGCTGGCTGGCTGCTAGCTTGTTTTATAATTTAGCTGGAGGCTGAGGGCAGTTGCTTTGCCCCCAGCCAAAACTTGGATCAGGGTCTGGCCCTTGATCTCAAACGAGATCAAGCGCTGGAAGTTTTGATGTTCCCCTAGGGGAACCAAGTTCCAGACCCTGGTAATGCATCCGGCCGTCACCCGCGGCCACGCGCAGCCCAAAATGGTTGTATCAAGCCATTGAAAACAGACTGTTGAAATTCAACAGCCTGCTTTCGCATCAGGGCCTAGATGCTTCTAGTGCCGCATCTGGCCCTACGTCACGATTAAATTCGCGACGTTTTTTTTTTTTTTCCTCCTTTTTTTTCCCTTCCTCTAACTCTATTTTTCAAAATGCACCCACACTTGGGCACCAATAGTGCCAGGTTCGGGCGACGAGAGACAACTGCTGCCCGTTATCAACCATGAACGGGCGCAGTTGTTCATGCTTCTCTCGCTCAGGGAAAGGGACACTAATAATAATAATTAAAAAAAGGAGAAATCTCAACAAAAAACAAAGACAAAAAAAAAAAAAAAAACGAAAAACTTACGTGGGCAAGGGAAGCGACTTACCTGAGGCGAGTCTCCAAGCGTCACCAGGTAAGGTCCACGTTCCACCCCCCTTTCTCCGAACGTAGCCGCCCGTAGGCGGCAGATTCATTTGCTCATCCGCAGATGGGTTGTCGGGGCAGAGCCCCCTGATGAGTCGGTGGAAGTCCGACGAAACAGTCTTGCGAAGTCATGCCTCCCTCTCTCTCTCTCTGAGGAACCCCCCCCGACACGTCTGCATACAGCCGCATTCCTGCGGCTGATTCACTGGGCTGGCCAACTGTCGAGGTTCAGCCTCCTGATGAGTCGGTGAGAATCCGATGAAACAGTCTGGCGCAGCCAGACTTCCGAATTGCCCGTTCGTTCGAAACGAACGGGCACTCACTAAAAAAAACAAAAAGGAAGAAAAAAAAAAACAATAAATCTAAACAAAATTTAAGCCGTGAATCTAAAAAAAAAAAAGTATAGGCAATATCAAAAAAAAAACAAGAAAAAAAAAAAAAAAAACGTGCGGCCGCGCCGAGATTAGCATAGCCCCTAAGCCCCTAAGCCGTGAAAACGGCGATGCATGTCATCCTTGGGTAGGGGCTATGCTAATCTCGGCGCGGCTGATTTCATCCGCGCGATCTCGAAGATCGCACGACCGAAAATCGGTCGCGCCCTTCCTCACGTCGCGGCTACTCCAAAAAGGAGTTAGCCCGGTAGTGCGGTTAGTCAGATTTGATCCCTGTGCCTGGAGGGCAATAGTCTGGCAGCAGTACCTACTGGGCTAGCTCCTTCTCACATCAAGAGAGGAGCTGCCCTTCTATATGAAGGGCTTCTGGTACCCAGCAGGCCCCCTTCCGGCGCCTAGCAGGCCGTGCCTGCTAAGCCTGCTTGCTACCGCAGCTGGCGGGCGGGGTCGGCAACCAACAGCCTTAGCAGTTGCCCTACCTCGCCGACTGTAACGCCATTACCCCCTCGGTCCTTGGCGTCAAAGTCCCGCGGACTCACAAACTCTCTATCCCGGTACACCGCGGCCCTATACCCGACGTGGGCGCTCTTTTTTGCCTACTTAGGCCCTGAATCGCGTGGCTGCTAAGCCGTGCGACATCTTTTAGGTAGAATAAGCGTAGCATTAGTCTACCCACGACCACACACCCCTGCGGCCTTGTCGAGAACCGTAGACGACAGTGCCGACTCCTGCTGTCTTGAACAAACGTTGATGATGTCACACGTCAACGACGTCAGGCTTTAAGTCTGCCAGTTATAGGTTTGGTCTGAATAACTTCGGCAACGTTAATCTCATCATGTTCCTCAACGAAAAAAGTCAGACAGTGTCTGATCTTAAAAAACTCGGGCAGAAACCCTCTCAGGGGTTTCTGTCCCGACAACGACGCACACCTGGCTCGTCGCCCCCTCTCTCCCTCTGTTTGTCTGTCCCCTCTTGGATCCGTTGAGTGCCATGCCAGCGCCAGCGCTCCCGATGCGTTTGGTCAACCTTGCCGCAAGGGACGAGCTGGGTACGCCTGACTCACTTGGCTGAGTTCCCCTATATCGCCATCTTTGTTGCTCTCACTGCCTGCCTCAAGTCCAGTTGCACTGCCCTGTTCCTCAATCGATCCCTTGTGTGTGCGTGTGCTGCGGACACCAGCACGCCGGTCTACCCGCACGCTCCTAATCACATAACTCCTTTTGCGACTACGCGTCCTCGTGATTGATGTCTCTTCCACTGACTCAGCGAACTAGCGCGGGTTACGCCTCGCTCACCCCATTGAACTTCTCCCTCTTCAAGTGTATCATCTCCCGTAAGCTCCCGGCGCCGCTCTCTCGTTGACCAAATCTTGGACGTGTGTGCCTGCCTCTGCTCTCTAGTCGAACCCTGAGCGTTCTCCCACAACTTTTCTGGCGTGATCACCTCGACTCACTTCATCTCCCAAACCTCCCTTCCGATCGCCCCATGGCTCAGGGGACAAGCTCCAAAGTCAACGAAGCTAGGCACTGGGTACACCTTGTGCGGAGCATAGTCCCCCTCTTCTGAATCTTTCTTCATTTTTATTCCTCCCATGTTCGGATCACAGTGTCTGGGTGCAGGACGATTCCTCAGACCACCTTCGTAGCTACACAGGCCCGCTGCAGATATTAGGCCTTTCTTCCCACAAAAACAAAATCTAGTGTCCAGTGCCATCCGGACAACCCGCGGCTACAAGTTTGGCCGAGGAAAAAATGCCAGCACTCATGCTTGCAGCCCCATGACTATAGGCCTGGATTTTCAAGTCTACACAGCATCAGGGACGTGAAGGCACACAATAGGCTTCTCTCGGTAAAAACAGTAGGAAATTGGTTGGTTCGAAAAGGTAGTGCTGTTGGCCTTGATAACCGTATCACGAGACATTCTTGTCAAACTGCCCCTGTACTGTACCCGTGCCGAACTGCATAAGGCCCAATTCCATCATGAGTGAAGACCGCAATGGCCCCAAAGCAAGTCGAAGATGGTTCCAGACCAATCACCATACCGCAGATACCGCAACATTCAGTTTTCGTGTCACGTTGTCATTACCCCAATGACCGTACCGGCCCAATACAAAATATAATTACACGCCGGAGATAAATCAGGTTGATACCGTCCAGACAACGACACTGTAGCTGTTCCAAACCTCGAAAGACTTCAGAATAAGCAGCAACATGCCGCCACAGTACCATCCAGTCCCCCATGGGATTGCACCGCACGTATCTCGGACCAGTCGTGGCTACACAGTACCTCTTCCGAAGCAGTGTCCTGTGAGTCGTAGCAGATCAACACAGAGTGTCATGCCATTTCGTAGATGTACCATTGTACCGCACCATAAGAATGTCGAATTGTTACCATACCAGCGTCGACCTTCTCTCGAACCAGTGCACCGTACCCGTCCCAATTCAGCATCGTACCGAACCAATGTGGAACTCCGTACCATGCCGCAAATGAACCATACCAATATAATTGAACCGCGTGACCCATATCATTGTAGTCCCAATAGCCGCACCGAACCAACCATGTCCCCATAACCCAAAAAAAAACAGCCCCACTCGTTCAACATCAGCGAATGAGGGGAGCCATCAGGTAAATCAGGTAAACAACGGAGGTACACAATTATCGGGACTCGAGGGAATCTTCAGACTCGGCGTAAGTAAAAGAACCGGGCAAAATCCATCGCGAGTACTTTTAATAAAATTTAATCAAATGACAAATAAAAAAATTTTGCGAGTAATTTTAATAAAATTTAATCAAATGATAAATAATCGCTGTTTTTTTTTTTTTTTTTTTTTTTTTTTTTTTTTTTTTTTTTTTTTTTTTTTTTTTTTTTTTTCATCGAAAATAATAAAAATAATGGATCATTTTCTTAAGAGTGGATTTCAATAAAATTTAAGTAAATAACAATTATTCTATTGTTCTCATCCCTCATATTATTTTGATTCTTTTTTCCAATTTCAATTCTGATATAGAATTAATAAAATTTTGAGGCGTCACTTCCTCACCAATTGTAAGATGCAGAAGGGTCGCGCCAAGGCCTATTTCTGTATTCTCGTCCCGCGGCTAGCCTCTTCGGAATTACCCTTGGAACGAACGAAACCCATAGGCACTAGGCGCGGCAAGTGTGGTCGTTCCTCTCGTTAATTTCAAGGGTCAGTTTTAATATTTGACATGGAGAATATTTGGGGTCTCTTTCCAACCCCTAATTTCTCCCAAGGGCTCGGACGAAAGTCCCGGTCAATCCCTCTTTAGGGAGATAATCTAAGGGTTAATCTGTCGGATTTCGGGTGGCCGACTGACCTTCGGCCGCCCGACAAACAAGCGCGGACCTCCTCTCAACGCCCCCGTCGAGCCCGCACCGCCATAATCAGACGAATCGTATAAGATTTAGACTGACCACACACGCACGACTCTTATGATTGCGCCTATCCGTCTGACGCTTGGGTCATCTTGGAACTCTAGGACTGAGAGGGTGTTTCTTCCCTCTCTTATGTCGCAGTCGCTTGGATCTCATTTTAGGGATGCTTCTCAGCTTCTTCCTTCGTTGGAGTGGCAGGGCAGCAGCTACCCCCCCCCGTCTAATGCGGATTCTGTGTTTAGGTCTCCACAGCACGAATAGCCATCTCCTTTTCTTACCTAGCGTCAAGCCCTTCATTTTCCTGGTCTCTACCCTCTTCCTCTTTTCGGAGCTCTCTCCTGCCTCAAACCGTCTCGACGGTCCTTCATCCGTCACCTTGGTTTTTCCCTTTCCTTTTGGGTCTGATAGTGTCAGCGCAGGAGTAGGGGTCTCCCTTGGCCTAAACAGCTGCCACAAGATCCTTCCACTTAGATCCATCTAACTCAGCAATCATATACGCTTCCCAACTGAGTGTTCCGACTACGCGGTAGGGACTCATCCATCTGTTAGCCAACTTTCCTGACCACGTCCTTTCTAATGCTGCGTTGTAGAGAAGTACCATATCACCCACAATTATCTTCTTCTTTCTAACCCTGACGTCCTTATCCCATCTTTCTTTGCCTTTGCCCCTCTCCACCACAAATTGATCGGACGCGGTCATGAGATTGTCCTCTAATCCGTAGGCTATCTGTCTAGTCCTAGCCGCCAGTAGCTCCTCTCGTAACATACTATCCGCCCAGTCAACTGTAGTCCAACTATCGACATGAAACTCTATGGGCAGAGGGCAGTGTCTTCCGAACCATAGAGTGTACTGCGGGTATCCTGTGCTAGCTCTAACAGTTACTGTGACATTATCTGCCCAAACCGCATATCGGAAGTATTTTGGTCAGTCACTATCTTTACCTCTACACCACTTGGATAGGGACGTTATCAAGGACCGATGCCCTCGCTCTACAGAAGCGTTGGATTAAGGGTGACAGGCAGTACCTATTGATACTCTAGCTTCCGCTTTCTTGAACACACTCTGCACCTCGTCCGCTAGGAACTCTGCTCCCCTATCCATCACAATCCTACTGACGCACCCATATCTGGACAGATATTCCAGAACAAAGTTCTTCACTTCTCTAGCTGTCTTAGTTCGAATAGGTTTTCCGTCAACAAACCCAGTGAAGTCATCTCTGATGTTTACGACATAATTCATATTGCCTACTCCCTTTGGCATCTTCACCAGATCTATATGCACCTTCTCACACGGTCGAGTAGGATAGGATGGATGAAGCGGCTCCTTGTACCTCACAAGCGATCTCTTCTGACAGTCCTCACAAGTCATACAGTACTTTTCGACGTCTTTGTATTGACCTTCCCACCAGTATAGTCTCCGGACCTTCTCATATCTCCTTTTTACTCCTCTATGTCCACCGACCACACCGTCATATAGTTCTGCCACTATGGGTTGTTTCTCCTCCAGGTCACAAATCACTCGTAAAGGCATTCCTGATCCCGTGGGTCTGCGGAATAAATGCCCAGATCTAAGGCAGTACTGTGTCACCTGTCTCCTAATCTTTGGATCAGAACTCTCTTCTTCTGACAGATGCAGTCCTAGAGTCCGGTACTTTCCTTCATAAAGGTTAACTAGGAATCGATCAGTTCGTCTAGGCTCAGTCATAGTCAGTGCGGCTACCGTTATTGATCGCTCCGCCTCGATCGGAATCCGCGAAAGTCCATCGACAACCACATTCTTTGGTCCTGAGATTCTCTCTACAGTATAATCGTAGAATCGGATCCTTATCAGCCATCGCGCAATCGTACGATCCGTCAGACTGAAGTCCTTCTGTAAAACTGACGCCGCAACCGTAGGGTCTACCCGTAGAATGAATCACCTCTCGTATATGTAGTGTCTAAAAGCGTCTAAACACGGTAGGACAGCTAACACCTTCTTCTTAAATTGACTGTAGTTGTGTTCGGCGGTGTTGAGCATACGACTCTCGAATCTCAGCGGCCTCTCCTTACCGTCAGCGTCCTTTTGAGAAAGCAGCCCTCCAACCGAACATCGTCCAACATCGGTAGACACTATGAAGGGTTTGCTGGTCTCGTCCTCGAAGGACGGTACTCCCAGGATTCGCCCCCCTTCTTTAAATTCTTCCTTGAGGGTTTGTACCGCAAGCTCCTCAGGAGAATCCCAGTAAAACCGCTCCGTTTTCCTAAGGAGAGTTCGCAAAGGTTTTGCCTTCTCGGCATATCCACGTATAAAAATCCGCCAGTAACCCACAACTCCTAGGAATTGGCGGACTTCGGTAGCGTTGTGCAATGGAGTTGGCCAGTTCAGGAGTTTATCTAACTTCGCCGGGTCCGCTCGACGCCCTCTCGAATCACATATGAACCCCAAAATCTTAATCGTCGAGACTGCCCACCGGCTCTTCATCCCACTGACCGCCAGGTTAGTTTCATCTAGATGTTCTAGAACCGCATAGATGTCCGTTAGATGCTGCTCTACGAATCTCCTGACACCGGGAGCACCGTTCTTTCGACTACCTGACGTACTCTCAGCTTTCGAGACTTCCTTATTGGCCGGATCTATGAACCCGGAACCACTTCTCCCATTTCGCTTATGTTTTCGATCCTTTTTTTCACGTTGAAACAACATTCGACAAAAGCTTGTTCGCGGTGGGGTTTCTCCTTTCGAAACAAACCCAAAAAATGGGGGTTCCGGGGGGGTGTTTTTTTCCACCACTTCAGCAAACGGATCAAAATCCGCCTCGACCCTCACCGGACAACAAGGGTCTGACTCCGTATGATAAAGCGTTCGACACTGGTCACACCATGGGGTGCTTGCCGAGATTATTTCAAAATAATAATATCCTTGGTTAGGGATCCCGACTACCAATCTCGGTCTAACCCTAACCCTGGCTTGAGGTTCCAAGTCAAAGCGTACTGTTCCCAGCTTTGGCTCTTCGTCATCAGGTTCCATCGGGTGGACACACACCACTGCTCCGAAATTACTCTCGATAGCAGCTTGCAGCGCTGGCATCAGCTGCAGGGGTACCCTTGGGCATCGTACCCAAAATATTTTCGGAGTTAAGTCTTTGAAATTCCTCATCTCGGTGAAGGTCATCCAGGGCAGAAAGGCAACTCGGTACTCTTTCCCTTCTGCGTAAATCACATCTTCCTTTTTGTGCAACATCCATTCTACAACGTTCGTTTGTGAGGAGACGAAGGAGCATAGGTTCTTCCCCTCACTTTGATATCTGCCTCTTTTTAGCCCTTCGTCAACAAGCCCAGAGTCATATCATGCATTCTCATAGACCCGCACCAATTTCTTTTTAAGTTTGTTTGACAAAGTTGCCGCGTCATTCAGAAATTGGATCGTTATTGCATGCTTTTTCAACCATTGAATGTTTTGCTCTGAGAAATCTTCGTTTAGGTCAAAACGGGCTAAATCGTCTGTTAGTTGTGCAACTCCTATGTTTAGTCCAGCTGGGAGAATTCCATCCTGAAGCACGTCTTTTTTTTTTTTTTTTTAACAAACAGCTCCATCTATTGGTGGGGAGCAACACCTGCTGGAAACCGGATCCAGCGTCCCATAGATACAACCATATCCTCTTAATTTGGCACCAACTGGAAACCGGGCCCAGCGTCCCATCATCAGAAAATTTCATGAATTTAGACAAGGAACTACTGGAAGAATCCAAACAGCAATTAATGGAAGTCCCTCGAATGCTCAGAACCCCTGGAAGCTCCCCACAAAAACACTCTAAAATTCTCTAATACTGTCTTCCTCCCTGCCGAGCTCTCCCAGGCCTCGTGCCCCCACCCTGCTAGGTTACAGGGCAACACGACTCCCCCCAGCTCCGGCCAGCGTCGTCCCGACAGCAACCCTTGGTTTTCCCTTAGAATGCCCGGCCCAAAAGCATCCCCAGATCTCTCTACCAGGCCTCACGCTCCTGCTATTAACAGGTTACAGGGCAATCCCCCAGCACCGGCCATCGAAAAACCAACAGGTCCATGAGTAAACAGCATCAAGGAAACCTAGACTGCTTTGCAAGAAGTACCCAGAGTCCTAAACAATTCTCAAGACTACCTAAAATATCCAGAAACATCTCGAAACTGGCAAAGAAACTAGGGCCAGATTGATTTTTTTTTTCTTTCGAGGTGACTATGACAAAATTCAGAAATCTACTCAGAGAAACCCCCCCCTCAACCCTCTATGCCTCCCTCCGGCAAGACTAACTGCAACAGAGCCACCATCTCTGCCGCTGCTGTGCCATACTCCCATCCTACCAGCTAGCCCCCTCACTGATAGGACGCGTGATATCCCCTCATTAGCAGAGAGTTGATTTGATCCTTTTCTCTTCTGTGTAAGCCTGTTTTTGAGCTCCAGGGTCCATTTCTGCTCCCCCTCCCTGGTCTTGCTGATTATACATTCTCTCAAGTTGAACCCGTTATTTACCAATTCCGTCCACCAAAAAATAGAGGAAGAGGAAGATTGGCCCTTATACTCCCCGTCCCTACGAACTTTGATTAAAGTAATAGGAGGCTTCTTAATAAATCAGAGTAAGCATTCATATCCCCGTAGAATAAATATATCAGTTTGGTCTTGAGGGTGATCGAGGAAATTTGTGTTTGTTTGGGATCGTCAGGGTGGAGTCAGGGTGGAGGCGACGACGACCGACAGGTAGGTGCGCAGGACGCGGTCCAGCTGTCTGCTGTCTGTGGGACCAGGCAGCGAGGCTGGACTGCAGGCGCGTGGGCACGAACCGCTGCTGTCCGCAAGCGACGTCCGCGTACCGTGCGCGGTGGCGCCGAACCCGGGGAGAGCGGCGGAGAGCGGGTTGTTCTCGTTCTTGAGAGAAAGGGAAGCTGCAGGCAGTGTGCACGGACAGCCGTGCAACGGCGACCAGCGGGCGGCGGCAGTTCACCCGGTTGACGGTGAGTTCCTCCATCCTCTGCTTTTCCTCGTGCGTCTGCTATCTCTCCTCTTCTCTTCTCTTCTCCTCTCTTCTCTTCTTGTCCTTCCTCTTGGCTCGCTACCCCCCCCCCCTTCTCCTTGCCGTCCTTTCTCTCCATCGAGCAGTTCAAACTTGTTCGAGTTGGCATTCCCCTCGTCTTTCTTACTCGTCGGGGCTGCGTGAGTGTTACGGGCAGAGGTTCCCATCACCGGGGCTTGCAGTCGAACAGGGGGGAGAGGGGGGGGGAGTAAGCGTGAATGGTGGAGAATGTGGGGTATGGGAACGGACTGGTGGAGAATGTGGGGTATGGGAACGGACTGGTGGAGAAGGCGGGGTGTGGGAAGGGATGTAATGGGGGTAATTGCAAGGGGTAAGTAAGGAGGGTGACTGGTGGAGAATGTGGGGCGTGGGAAGGCATAAGAAGGCCTGGGGGGATTTGAAGGAGAATTGAGGAAGTGGTGTAATTGGAGGCGGGTAGACAGATATACGGGGAGAGGGTTCTGATCGAACGGGGATACTGATACATGGAGTGGCACACACAACTATACTTACATACATACACACACGCACACACACACAGACAGACACACAGATAGATAGATAGATAGATAGATAGATAGATAGATAGATAGATAGAGAGAGAGAGAGAGTTGCCGGTTTCTTAGCTTCTCCTGTCTCATTATTTCTCGTCTGAAAGATCATCGTCATCTGTACCTCCCTCCTTCCCCCTGACGATACATTTCCTCCTACGCAATCTCCATCGTTATTGCTGCCGTCCATTCTTTTGTCTTGTTCTCCCTGGTCCGTTGCATCTCTCTCCCTCTCTCCCTCTCTTCTTGTCTCGCTCTCAAATAGTGACTCTGTGCTCACCTTTCACCGTTTTCCCTTCCGTGATTTCGGTATTCGTCTTCCCCTCCTCTTTTCCTCCCTCCCTCTTGCTGCCTCGGTGTCGTCTTCTTCGTCCGTGTAGAGCATAGGCACTGCAATTCTCGAAACGTCGGGTTTTAACGGAGAAGGGAAGGATGTTGGATATCTGCGTTAGAGGAAGGGGAGGCAACAAAAAAAAAAATGTCGTCGAAGGTATGATGGATAGATAGCGAGAATATATAGTTAGGATATATATGCGTCTATCATATAGAATGTGCGCCTGTGAGGTTATAGCGAAGGCAATTGCGCACCTCCTCACCAGTACTCCTTTACGTGTGTGTAAATGTGTGTGACACACACATACACACAGGGAGAGAGAGAGAGAGAGAGAGAGAGAGAGAGAGAGGGAGGGATGGGGCGTATCATCGATGTGAGGCCGTCGGTGATGCAGACCAGTCCATCGTCGGAAGAGAAGAAGAAGAGAGGGGACTGTTTCTCTGCTTGGAGAGGAGGAGGAGGAGGAGGAGGAGGAGGAATGGAGCGAACGAAGGGGAGGTACGAGGGGTTTGGGAGGGAATAGCAGTGGTAGAGTCCAGCAATCTGGTGACCGGCATGAGGGATGTGATGCCCAAGTGGGCATTTTTTTGCTGTCGGGAAAAAAAAAAAGTTTTCGTGTGAATCAGGGATGGCCACGTCACGTTGGCTCTTGATCTTTTTTTTTTTTTTTTTTTTTTTTTTTTTTTTTTTACAATTTTGTTTTTTTTTGAGTCTTAGAAAAAAGGACAGTAAATAAAAATTCAACCTGGGAGATAGAGTCGTTCGCGTCGATGGCGTCAGAACCGCCCTTGACGATGCTGTATATAGAGATTGATTGGCCAATGAAAAACAGGGGTGAAATACCTTTCTCGGCCTTTTGGCTAAGATCAAGTGTAGTATCTGTTCTGATCAGTTTAATATCTGATCAGTTTAATATCTGATCCGTGGTCCATCGGGCCACACAAGAAAAAAAAAAAAAAGAAAAAAAAAAAGGAGGGGGGGGGGGGGGGGGGGGGGGGGGGGGGGGGGGGGGGGGGGGGGGGGGGGGGGGGGGCATAAAGGACGTGATGTGACCTCCTACGGGTGTCATGTCATCACCGAATCCATGGATTACTCACGGGGTTATTTTTAGATAAAAAAAAAACACCATCTCCCTTTCTGTCGACGGTTGACCCGGCAGTTCTCAATGACTATATCTATATAAACATTAAGTTTTTATTTTTTTTATTTGGGAAAAAATAAACATTAAGGTTGCGATGAGCTATCCCCATGTTTTTATGGGACATGCTCTTGTTCTCTCTCTCTCTCTCTCTCTCTCTCTCTCTCTCTCTTCCCCCCTCCTCACTCGCTCAGTCACAGTCGGTCATTCCGAGTATCTGACCGGCCAATTGCCTTTCCCCTTTTTTTTTTTTACCCAGGAGAGATGAAGGTACATTACGATATTTTTATCTCGCCCCGCCAGTCGTATTCCCCTTTTTTTTTCTGTGCTTTTTTTTTTTTTTAAATGTCATCCTCAAGAAACGAAGAAGAGGAATGATCACAGAGCTAAAGAAAAGGAGAAAGACAAACAATGGCCGATTGCTCTTCAGACGCAATTCACAGGATATTACAGCCAAGAACATACAAGCGTGTAAAGTAAAATAAAATTATTACACAGCATATGCACTCCGAATAAAGGAATCGATCGGAAAGAAGGAAAAAAAAAAGAGAAAGGAAAAAAGAAAGACTGCGAAGGGAGTTCTGGGTACGTGGCGGGAAAATGAAGTCGGGAACGAAAACGGCGGGAAAGAAAGATCAGGACAGAGGCGGCTGCTGCGTTTGGGAAAGATAGGCGGAAAGGGGATGATAGCAGGGGTCACGGGAAGCGGAGTGATCGAGAGAGCGAGGTAGTAAAGAGCCAAGGTCGTTGAGCGGGAAAACTAAAATGCCAGATTAAGGGGAAATAAACAATTTCAAGACTGCAACGACGTGTCCTTCATTCCTTTCTCCCCCCCCCCCCCCCCCCCCCGCCGGCCTCGCCTCCCCCTTTTTGTCTTTTGAAATTCGGACCATTTCTCCATTCCTGCGTGTCATCCTTGAAAGCGCAGGGGCCATGCTAATCTTCGTTCTCTGTATCGTTCCACTTTTAATTGGTGTCCCGGAGGACTTCCCCCGCCTTTTTTTCCCCCTTTTTTTTTCCTGTTTTTTTCTCCTTTTTTCCGTTTTTTTTTTTTTCTAAACAAAAAACAGTTTCCGTTCCCCCCTCCCCCCCCCTCTCTTGTGAAAGTGGGAATTCCCAGACTGAAGAAGCAACGAGAACGAACGTGTTTGTCTTGGATGGAGGCTCAGAGAGGAGGGTTATCTTTGTGAGGATGGAATATAGAGAGGGCCCTTTTTTTTCCCGTCTTCTTCTTCTTCTTCTTCTTCCTTCCTCCTTCTTCCCTTGCCCCACTCCCCCCTTCCCCCCCCCCCACAGGGTATTTTTCAAAGAAGCGAGGTTGTGGAAGAGAAACTGGCAGAAGAGAATAAAAAGGCAGAAGAGAAGCTTTAGGCAAAGAGAAACTGGCAGAAGAGAATAAAAAGGGAGCGAATGAAATTGAGAGAAGAATCTAGCTGAGTCTTTTTTTTTAGTTTTTTTTTTTTAACAGAAAGAAGAAAAAAAGAAGGAAAGGCGGGAACGAATGTTTTCAATGCGACAGGCAAAATGCCATAAAGAAGGAATTTGGAGGACCGCCTCTACTGGTGGAATTAGAGAGAGCTCGGGGGCCAAGTCCCACTAGCAGCGTTGAGCTACCTCAACGCCTGAATCTGGACGCTTTTGCGGAGATGTGCAGAAATGGTGTAGAGTTTCCTGAACTGCACGTCTCCACAAACACGTCCAGATTCAGGCGTTGAGGTAGCTCAACGCTGCTAGTAAGCCTGGCTGTGGTCGTACGCGTCGGTGGCCTCCGACTATGGTGGTTGAAGTTTGGCCCGCCGTTCTTTGAGGGGGGAGAAAGCCGTAGGGAAGGGAGTGTATATCCTGAACGCTCGGTTGAGGCTGTGTTCTGCTGTGCAAGGGAGGCGTGGAGGGAGATGGTTTCGTTTTGGGGTGTTGTTGAGATTTCGCCGCTCTTCTCTCTCTCTCTCTCGTTTTCTTTTTCTTGTTTGTGGGCGTATTTTACTATTTTTGGAAGAGCGTACGCATCCCGCACATGAGCTAGAACTTTCATCTGACCGCAATTACGTCCTCTGGCTATGGCGGTGGAAGGTGCGCTTTTTAGGTCTTATGAGCTGCGCGTTGTTTTGCTGCTGTGCTGATTATTAGAATACAAAGTTGCAAAACGAAGAAAATTCAAAATTACAAATATATATGATGAGTCGGTGAAACTCCGACGAAACAGTTTGTCACAGCCCCTCGTTTGTTATCCGCTTTTTTATCTCTCTGTGCCTACGGTTTACCGGGCAGCTCTGTTTGGGCGGCCTTGTACGCATGAATTTTTTTTTTTTTCTTTTCTTCGCTTTTGCGCTCGGATAACTTTGTGACGATATATATACCTCGTTTGTTGTCCTCTTCTCCCTCTCTACCTACGGTTTACCGGGCAACTGTGTTTGACCAAGCGGCCCCTCGTGGATCCGAGTACCGCTTATGACACTCAAGTGTCAGACTCGAAGTATCGTGATGGTCCATTCCCTCACGATATTGCACGGCTGAAGGAATAGCCGTGCGGCCGCCACGAGACCTCCGGCCTTTGGCCTGAGAGTCTCGGCAGGTAGGGCAAATAGGCTCTGCGCGGGGGAAAATTCCTTCCATGCAGAGTCTAGGGCTTGGGATGTTCTGGACAAGGACCTCGAATCCCGGCCCAGGACCAACGTCCAACTAAAAACTCAAAAAAAAAAAGTATACAATCAAGTGGAGGGGTTTTTCTGCCTTTTTTCAACCTTAACCCCTATTTAACCCTTAATACGATGGCCCCTTGGGCCACGCGAACTTCTAACATAGGTACACATACATTTTTATACGTATATAAGGGGGATAAGTATGTGACGATCACTTCTTACAATCACAATGGGGCTCCTCACAACCATACGTATATGTGTGATCGCAGACAGTCAAATCCAAATTCTGAACCACAGAACATACCTGCAATCACATCAAAGATTCAAACAAAGTCCACGCACTACACGGAGTTAACCCCACACACTACACGGAGTTAACCCTCACTTTAGCCATGCAAGCCCCAACTTCGACTACCACCACCATAGCCGGAGTTCACCTTCCACCGCCATAGCCAGAACTCGACTTCCACCACCATAGCCAGGATTCGACTTCTAGCACCATAGCCAGGATTCGACTCCCACCGCCATAGCTAGAGCTCGACTTCCACCGCCATATCCAGAGCTCGACTTCCACCGCCATATCCAGAGCTCGACTTCCTCCGCCATATCCAGAGCTCGACTTCCACCGCCATAGCCAGAGCTCGACTCCCACCGCCCAACCAACCATTTTTTTTTTTTTTTTTTTTTTTTTTTCTCTCTCTCCCCCCGCCTGTGCGGGAAGGCCCTTTTGACAACCAGAAATGTTGCGCAACCAAGAAAGGTATGTGGCTACGGGCGTCGCCAAAACATGGACATGTACGTGGCTGCGGGCGTCGCCACATGGGACACGAAACGGAAAACGAAACGAGTGCATCTTCCTGCAGAAAATGGTCAGGTTCATAGGTTTGCTATCAATAACATCTTCCTGGTATGTGGCTACGGGCGTTGCCGCACGGGATACAAAACGGAAAAGGAAACGAGTCCATCTTTCTGCAGAAAATGACCAGGTTCATAGGTTTGCTATCAATAGCATCTTCCTCAGTACCTTTGTTAAATGGCCATTCAATAAAAGTCCGGGTGAAACCTTAACAAAACAATAAAATCACCAGGTCTAAAGCTTTTTAGGTTGGCAATTGAGGGTGAGTTGGAATTGAGTCGTAAACCGACGAATCGGCAACCGACCTGTTATTAGTGATAACAGAAGGTGATCCTTATAGGACCAGGCTGAATCTAGTCCAGATTTTGAATCAATCGATCAGGACCTGTAACACATGACAGACCAATCCCCCAAGCTAAATCTATAAGTCTGTGGGGAATAATCCTCATATCATGATCTCACTCAAATTATCCTAATTAGCTAAGCCTAAGTTTACCTTATAGCAAGCGCCAATAGAAAGGTAGACCCTGACAGAGTCTCCTCTATATAGAGCGGATTATCCAGAATTGCCACCTGTCAACTATAATCTAAATCCTCTAAACTAGGAAAATTTCGGCAGCGCTTCCCATAGGAAAAGTGCCTTGGCAGAATTTATATTAGCTAAAAAATCTAACTTTTAATTTTAGAAAGTCAAAGTTTGTCTAACTCCCTGAATTAGTAAAAATTTGGGCAGCATTTCCTTTAAAAATGGAGACTTTCCAGATTTATACTAAGTCTGATATGAACTCAAATATAAAATCAGAGTTCAACTAAGACAAAATTTAACTAACTCCTTAGATGTGTAGAAATTTCGGCAGCGCTTCCC